GCAAGCATATCTAAGAGAATAATTCTGTGATTGGCGATACGCGAATTCGCTTACGCACGATCCGCTGCATGGGACATCACCCTAAAGTTTGTTTTCTGTGGTTAAACTAGTGTACACTTTTGGAATTTAAAGTGAGATAGATATACTCGTATACGTTTGGTATTTGTCGAAAGCGAGAAAGAGAGTTCTAGAGCAGTCTAGTGCAGGAACAGAAAACAGATCATTTATTTGCTGGCTTTACATCATGTTTTATCCCTTTTTATTAGTACCTGTGAGCCTATTCTGTAATTCTTAACGCAAATATCGTTACCATTATAATGCTACTGCATAGCTCTTTTAATATGATAAAAAAGCTGCGCAACAGCATTATAATAATAATGAAACTTGAGTTAAAAGCAATTAAAAGTTACAGAATAGGCCTGTTGATGTATCCCATACGAAATAAGAGGTTACTTTGTGTACAGGGTGTTACAGATACATACTAGGCAGTACAACGGGTTGCGCGGCAAACTTTGCATGGCCAAACGTGGTTTAATAATCAATGACAGTGACTTTATATATTATAAAGTTTATACTACAAAGTTTATTATTTATATTATAAAGTTTATGTTATAAAGTCACTGTCATTGTCTATTAAACCACACTTGGCCATGCAAAGTTTGTCGCGCAACCCGTGATACTGCCTAGTATGTATCTGTAACACCCTGTACAACTAGTACAGCTATCTGCTTTTTAAACACGGCGTCCAAATTAGTAGGTTATTCCTCTCAGTGGACTGCCTTCCGATTCAGCACACAAACCGGTTCCACTTTTTCTGTTCGCGCGCTATCAAATTGAATCTCCTTATTTATTATTTCGTGAGTATTACCCATAGACATAAACATTGTTCGTTTTGTAAAAGCAAGTTAAAGAAAGACGAATTTAGCTTTTAAATTGAGATATAAATTGGAAATATTCAGGAGAGCTTGGTCTAACCGTAAGCGAGACATCAAATGGAGTCTACATCGACAGTCTTCGTCCGGCGAGCACAGCGGATCGGTGTGGTGCGTTACAGGCAGGTGATCGGCTGTTAGCTGTGAATGATACACCTGTTCAGGATGCAGTGACTGCCGCTAAGCTGCTTAGAAATTCCGAAAGTTCTCGCATTGCCAGATTGCAGATATTACCACGACCCCCGAGCACAAGGACAGTCAAAAGAAAGACACAGTCATTGACTCAACAAAACTCAAATCAGATTCTACAAATGAAAGAGAACCTAACCGTTATTCTTCGACCAGATCATCGAGGTTTTGGACTTGCGCTTAAATTGGCCGAAGATCGCATGAATTATATAGTAAGTTTGTTGGAAGCTGGCGGTCCAGCAGAACGAAGCGGCATTCTTTTGCCTGGCGATGAGGCTATCGCAATCAATCGGAGAATGTTATGCGATTTACAACCGTCTGAAGTAATCAACATATTAGAGACGTCGCAAATGGTAAACATTCATTTTGCTTCGAGTTTTTTTATAAATTTTTTTCATCAAAAATAAATATCGAAAATTTTTTATTATTTTCATATGTTGACATGATTAGATCGAGTTAGTGATAGAATACAAAGTGGGTGGATCGATAGTGCCAAGTTCCGGAATCTATACGGTGAGAGTGGCTAGGCCATTAGGCGGCCAGCCTGATCTAGGTCTCACGGTAAATGAGGATCTAATGATCACAGAAGTCCGCCGAGGATCACTCGCTTATCGAACTGGCAGTTTAGCATCAGGGGATAGACTGCTTGCAATAGATGGGCAAACACTGGATCCCGGAGACTTGAGACAAACCGCTCAATTATTGCATCGACCTAGTGGATCGGTGGTTGCTCTAACTATTAGAAAACCAGATCCTAATACGGAAATAAGGTATTTAATAATATGTAGAATTCGTAGAAACGTTTTCTACAAAAATTGTTCTTTGAACGGTTTTTGCTTTAGATAAAATATATAATTTTATAATAATATATGAATTTTAATTAAGATTTATTCCAGTGCTCGCAAAGATTTGCACATTTCGGGCCGATTCCAGCGAGCAACCCCCCACTACCGCTCAAGGTTCAGCGGCCGAGCCTCGAGCAGTGATGCAGGTCGGGCCGCGTTTCTGGAGCATGCGCGTCGAACGTAGCGTCAGTATCGTACTCGTTACCAGTAAACGGAAGTTCATTAGTCGCCTACGTAAAATTTGTTAAAAATTCTTAAAAATTATAATATATTTTATATATTTTACATATATTACTTACAAACAAATTCACACATATTAAAAATATGACAATTTGCATTTAATAATAAAATATTAGCTGAAGAATAAGAGAAAAGTGTAAAATAATTTATGAAACAGTTTTTTTATATTAAAATATTTTATTTGGTAGAATCTCGTACCAACATTTGTTACAAGGGTAAGAAAAATTGCCAAAAATCTTAAATAAATATATATTTCCTTTTTTTTCGTAGGAGAGGAAAATCTTCGCATAGCCCCTACACTGTATTGAGATTGTTATGACTGTTATGAGATTTTCCCCTCCTACACGCAAAAAAAAGGAAATATATATTTATTTTATGAACTTGTAAGATTTTTGACAATTTTTCTTACCCTTGTAACAAATGTTGGTACGAGATTCTACCAAATAAAATATTTTAATATAAAAAAACTGTTTCATAAATTATTTTACACTTTTCTCTTATTCTTCAGCTAATATTTTATTATTGTAAATGCAAATTGTCATATTTTTAATATATGTGAATTTGTGTGTAAGTAATATATGTAAAATATATAAAATATATATTATAATTTTTAACAAATTTTACGTAGGTGACTAATGAACTCCCGTTTACTGGTAACGAGTGCGATACTGACGCTGCGTTTGACGCGCATGCGCCAGAAACGCGGCCCGACCTGCATCACTGGCCTCGAGCGGTAGTGGAGGTAGCGCACCGGAATAGTTATATTCTATAAATTATTTTAATTTCATGCGACTTGAACCGTTCTTCTCATTTTCTCGATATAAATCGTATTTCGTATGCGTTTAGACATAGACCGATCTTCACGCCTTACCCCGGATCTACAATAGATGTTTTAAGCCTTAAGCCGTAAGAAATTGACCAATTACAGTCGAATCTGAGAAGAATAAGCGACTGTGATTCGCCTATTTCTTATGGCTTAAAGGGATCTTAAAGACGTCTGTATTACCGACTAAACACGTATAATTTTTGTATAACGAATACTCTTTTTCTCTTTCACGGATTCGAAAATCCTTTTCCAGGATTAAAGTATGCGCATTAATACGTGTTTGTGAAGTGGCGTCTCAGCTGTCAAGTCGTGACAACATTTGCTTGATATGAAAGCTTTGCAACCTGAACGTACGAAATAATAGTTCCTGCAAACACATAATGTGCACAAACATACAACGTCGAGTTCTTAGAATTAGATTTAGACGCTTTATCGCGATAAATTCGTTGTATGAAAATTGACACGTATGTGTGACTGCATGTATCATAGGCTGCGTGAGATATTACTGTGGTAGTATATAGCGTTTTCGATTGGGCAAAAGTTAGTGCGCACCAGTGCGCACTCAGTTCACACCAACACTGGACGAGTTCCATAGGTTGCACTGAATAGTGCAAGTTCAAAAGAATACGCCAAGATTTTCAGTGCTAAAACTGAAACTCATTTTTGTTCACTTTGAAGCAATGTTCAACAAAATGTTACAAAACTACAGTAAAAGATATTAAGAGTAGGGACAAGACCCCGTTTTCAATTCAACTGCGCAGATTTGCTTGTCCCTATGTATATCCTTAACTGTGATAAAACGTGCACTGAACTGGTACCGTCAAAATATCTCGTGCCACTTAGTGCGCACTGAGTTCGCACTACGCGAGTGTCGTGCGATCAAATGAACATGTGACACTAGCCAAGTGCTCATTGGCACTGCCAATCGAACACGCTCTTGACACTGAGTGCAGCCAGTGCACCCCAATCGAAAACGCTAATAAAAAGACATGCGATGTGCGGCGCGCGGTGCGACATCTAGTGATTTCATCGGAGTTCGAGCTTTGCTTTAGGATCCCCTTAAGACTTAAAACCCTATTGTAGACTTCTGGACTTATGCGAACAGACCGCTTTTCATTTATTTATTGACATAAACCTTTCTTTATATTTTTCTCGATATAACACCGTCTACGACTCAGGTCAATATAGTATGACTAGTACGTTCAACCGAATTCGCTATTAGTTTCGTATGTAATGAGCGAAAAAAAAGATAGATAAAGATTACAACGTGTCGAGCGCCCCGAATGAATGCCCCTTACGTCTACGAGCGCCTTAGTACATTCCTAAGCGTTGAGCGGCATTTGAAAGGGATAGCGGGAGGCGGAGCCGACTCGAAAATCGGCCGAAATGTGCATTTCGTGCCGAGCCCTGGTCACTATACAGGGTGGGATTTTAATCGCTCCAGGCGAATATCTTACAATTAGAAACTAACAGATACAGAAAAAAGATTTATATAAAAACTGTAAATTTTTTTGGGAGAAAGAAGATGGAAATAACAGATTTTATATGGAATATTACAAGGTCAAGTCAAGGTCAACATGAATTTTTAAATGAGAATCACTATTTTTTATTGCACATTCTTATAGAAGTCGAAACGTTTTTAAAACACTATAATAAGGTATTTTTTCATTAAGCATTTTTCGAGTTATAAAACTTGACTGTTACTGTAACTTGACGAGTTACTGTATTGCTGACAGCGTTACCCAAAGTGTATCACCTGGAGGTTACTCAGTCGGATTTAATCGATTGTGTGTGCGTATCGATTGTGTGTACATATAAGCACCATAAAGGGTTGAAATCCCCGTTATGTCAACGTCATTTATCCTGGGTAATGCTAAGCACGGAAAAATGCATGTCGACCTGGAGCTGGTCGTCAAACATAACCAGTCCAGATAATGAAGAGAAACAAGAACATGATACGTATAACTTTGACTTTCCTTCCTCTCTCCCACATATGCATGTATGCAAGTATGCACAATGCGCGCGCGCGCGCACGCACACGCACACACAAACACAACAAATTAAATACGATAAGTAACTTCCATATGATACACCTTGGATAATGCTAATAGGTCTGTTCGACTTGCTTACACTTTTTACACTCAGCATCTTCGCTTTCTCTCTTTTCAGTGCCAAATATATCTATCTTATTTTAAGCGTAAAAAGTGTAAGCAAGTCGAACAGACCAAATGTAAGCAGTATAATACTGTCAAGTTTAATAATTTAAAAAGTGCTTAATGAAAAAATACTTTACCATATAATCAAATCTGAAGAGACAGATTTTGAGCAGAATCTGCTACCAATTTCTGATTGCAGAAAAGCAGCAAATTGTACACAGAGTTTGTACTATCAGACAATATCAGCAAACTGCTGCCAAAAATATGACAAAGTTTGATGACATGCTATGCCAGCAAATCGGTGACAGAAACCGAACAGAGTCTGCTGCATAACTTGACAACAGATCGCGAGCAGAAACCGAACAGAGCCTACTGACATAATCTGACAGCAGATTGGCAGCAGAAACCGAGCAAGATCTGCTATTATCATATACGGCATTGCTACGAGATGGACTTGCTTCTTGTAGGAAGAAAACGTCTTGTAAGAATTGGCATATGTAAATCGAATATAGGCAAATCTCCTAAAGATTCCCATGCTCTTTCGGTGTGTGCTTTTGAATCTCCGAATATTTTTTTTACTATTTTATAACTTTCTTATGTGTATTTTGAAACGTGAAGCTAATCAATAATATTGTATTTTTGCAATAAAATTGTATTGATTGTTTCCAATTTTCACATCAGTATATATAAATATATAATTATGTATAATTATATATAACCATTGTATAATTATATATAACCGTTTATATAATATATGTACACAAAATTTCTTATAAGAAATCGGTCGATTTAAATGAAAATGACAGAACTTGCTCAGTTTCTGCTGCCAATCTGTCAAGTTATGTCAGCAGACTGTTCGGTTTCTACTCGCAATCTGCTATCAAATTTTGTCAGCAGATTCTGTTTGATTTCTGCAGCCAGTTCGTTTAGAATGTTAATAGGTTCTGTCGGTAGAACAGGAGCAGAATGCGACATTAGTTGTGGTCAGTCTGTTAACATCTTCTGATCAAATCTGTTATCAATCTGTCGACATCCCGCTAACATTTTGCTATATGGGTAGTGTTTTGAAAACGCCTCGACTTCAGCTACAGAAATATGCTACAAACATATAAAATGATTCCTATTTTAAGAAATTCATGTTGACCTTGACTTGATCTTACGGAAAAGAATCACTAGATATTGTAATCCGTATGATTACTATAATTCCGCGCGAAATTATTACATACAACGAATCACATGCGCATAGTTAGTAGGGTAATACAAATATTGAAATCAGTAAATTTTTTAATAGAAGGATTATACATCGATAATGTTACAGAGTGAATTATGCGCATGTAATTATTATAATATAAAAACTACAGTGGGCAAATTACTGTAACAGGAAGATTACACACATTCATGAATATATTAACCTTTAAACTGTAACGTCTCCAGGTAAACGTAAAAATGAGTATAGAAGAACTATAACTTTATTCTTATAAAAAAAATATATCTTAATTATACATGTTCCTATTTGACAACATCTATTGAATTAATCTATCATAATTACGTTTCTATAAATGAGAAATGTTCAGAGATCAACGCGAACTGTCGCAGCTCCCGTATGATCTTGAAGGTTAAACAACGTTGGGCGTGGTTGCTGGATGGATGGATGATCACTTGCAGAAAGCAATGCTAGCTGAAAATTTATATAGCTTGGGAAG